GCCGCATGTGTCCCTCCCTGGGGGCCAGAGGGCAGGGGAGTCGGGGGACAGGGCTCAGGACTCCTGAGGAGGTCCGTCCTCTGGGTGCCCCCAGCCCTGTCGCTGGCAGGAAGCCCCACTTGGCCCACCCGCCCTGGGCAGGAGCGGAGCGGCAGTGCTCACTCGAGGGAGGGAGGGAGGGAGGGAGGGACCAAAAGGCTGTGCTGGTGGCCCCACCGCCCTGGGCCATCCTGGGACCCAAGGGGAGCCCGAGGTACAAAATGCCTGGCTCCCAAGAGCCCCAAAGGCCACAGGGTCAGAGGCCATTCCCATGAAGGGTCCCTCCCTCCTTGGGTGAGGATGTGAGGGTTAGGGTTAGGACTAGGATTAGGATTGGACCTGCATTAGGGTTAGGGTTAGGGTTAGGGTTAGGGTTTGCTCTAGGGTTAGGGTTAGGATTGGACCTGCATTAGGGTTAGGATTAGGGCTAGGGCTAGGGTTAGGATTACATTAGGGTTAGAGTTAGGGTTAAGGTTAGGGTTAGGGTTTGCTCTAGGGTTAGGGTTAGGATTGGACCTGCGTTAGGGTTAGGGTTAAGGTTAGGGTTAGAGTGAGGGCTAGGGTTATATGTTTGGAGTAAGGATTAGGGTTAGGGGTAGGGTTAGTGTTAGGGTTAGGACTAGGGTTAGGATTAGTGTTAGGATTGGACCTGTGTTAGGGTTAGGTTTAGGGCTAGGGTCAGCTTGAGGGTGAGGGCGAGGCTGAGCGGTAAGTTCATGGTTAGGGTCAGAGTGAGGGTTAGGGTTATGGCAAGCATGAGTGTGAGGGAGAGGGTGAGGCATAGGGTTAGGGTTATGATTAGCATTAAGGTTAGGGTTTAGGCAAGCGTAAGTGTGAGTGTGACAGAGAGGGTGAGGGTCAGGGTGAGGGTTAGGGTTAGGGTTAGTGTTAGGTTTAGGGTTAGGATTATGCTTAGGGGTAGAGTTGGGGTGAGCGTTAGGGTTAGTGTTAGGATTAGGGTTAGGGTTGGGGTAAGGGTTAGGGTTAGGGTTAGGGTTGGGGTAAGGGTTAGGGTTAGGGTTAGGGTTGGGGTAAGGGTTAGGGTTAGGGTTAGGGTTGGGGTAAGGGTTAGGGTTAGGGTTAGGGTTGGGGTAAGGGTTAGGGTTAGGGTTAGGGTTGGGGTAAGGGTTAGGGTTAGGGTTAGGGTTGGGGTAAGGGTTAGGGTTAGGGTTAGGGTTGGGGTAAGGGTTAGGGCTAGGGTTAAGGTTAGGGGGTTATGTTTAGGGTTATGGTTAACGTTAGCGTTAGGGTTAATGTTAGGGTTAGCATTAGGGTTAGGGTTAGGGTTAGGGTTAATGTTAGGGTTAGGGTTAGGGTTACGGTTATGTTTAGGTTTAGGGTTATGGTTATGGTTAGCGTTAGGGTTAATGTTAGGGTTAGCATTAGGGTTAGGGTTAGGGTTAGGGTTAATGTTAGGGTTAGGGTTAGGGTTACGGTTATGTTTAGGTTTAGGGTTATGCACAGCTGCACACCTAGGCAGAATGTTAGGGCAAAGAAGCTAACTCACTGAACCTCTGGGGCCTCAGTCTGCTGCGGTCCGAGTGACCCTGGCCCTGTCTGTGGACACGGGACTCATGGGCAGAGGCCCCGTGGGATTTTGGCAGGACTGAGCCCAGCCTTACAGGTCACTCCCTGCTCGCTGTGCAGGAGGCCTGCGGGTTCCCTGTTGGGTGGAGCTGACATTGGCCGTGTTTGTAATGACTCTGTTGCTCCCTATCCGTGTGCCCAGGAGGCCAGGCCTGCTGGCCCTGCTGTGGAGGAGGAAACTGAGGCTCCAACAGGTGGAGTGACTTCTGCCCGCCCCCCTGCCGGCCAATAGGAGGGCCCAGCTCTGTCCCAAAGCCCGCCTTTCCCACCTGCAGTGCTGCAGGGCCCACCACAGCTCCCCAGCCCACTGGGGTGTAAATGAGGGTGAAAGGGGGTGACAGGACAGGACGTGCAGTGGAGACCGTGGTGGGATCCCTGAGCTCCACCACCCACATGGAGAGCCGGGAGCGAGGGGCAGCCGGGCTCTGAGCCAGCACCCTCCCTGGCCCAGAACACGAGTGCCCACCTCCCCTGGACCCGGGCAGCCACCTGCCTGCATCCCAGGGGCCTCTGAGGACCTCACTGTGGCCTCCAGTGAACACTCAGAGACCACATATCACATGTGTACATGCATCATACAGACCACACACATGCACATACAATGTGCACAAATGCACAAAACATGCATGTGTGCTGCATGCACATGGACATGTCACACACCACAGGTGCACACAGAGAGGTGCGTATACATATGTGCACACACACACACACACACCACAGCTGCACACCACATACAATACACAGCCACACACACATGCACACGTAACACACCACAATGCACACGTGCACACACACGAGCCCCAGAGGCTGTCTGAAGCCGCCACTCATTTCCACACGCGGCAAGCGGGCTGGACAGGCGCTCTGATCCTGCGGAGCGGGTGGGCGGGGTGGGGAGAGCTGGCCACACGGAACAGGACGAGGTGGTAAGAAAAGAACCTTTTATTTCTGGTCCAAGAATTCATTACAAACTGTCAGGTTTAAAAATGTAAAAGAGCAACAACCGCCTTCGGCCGACAGTGAAGGTATGAAGCGGATAGTGACGGAGAGCGCTCGGCTGGAGCTCGGCCCCACGGGTGATTCCGGAGGAGGGACGACGCCACCCAGAGTCCAGAATCCACGGGCCGCGCGAACGCACAGCCGAGGCCAGACAGCGCACTCCATGCAGGC